CACACAGACAACCTCTCGTCAATATGTGTTTTTCGCATTGCATTGCTGCAAAAAACGCATAATAAACTCGGGCTGAGATCTTTATTGTCCAGTCCCCTCCCCCCTATATCGTTCCCACTTGTATCCAATTGAAGGACCTTGCCCATTGTGATTCTTCGCCAGCTATTATTTTTTGTGGATGCAAACGCATATTCAACGTTGTAGCTGACGAGAGTAGAACGACAAACTTTGCTGTGACGAGTGTTTCCTTATGACCGTACAAGCATTTAGATTCTCCGCTAAGTTAAAGATTTCAGATTTAGCCCCTAGGCGTTCGTGGTTCTCAAGTGCGGGCACGTGGAAGATCCGGCGGGAAAACTGCTAACTTGGTAACCAAAAAAAAGCTGTAGAGCTGAAATTTTAAGGAGATGTTCCCTGTCCAAGTGCTGAGTATAGATGCAAGCACGACACAAAGCAAAATGCGCTTGCGATGGAACACGTTAATAAATTTATTAGCATTCAATATGGACATAAGCAGCAATCGTCAAGAAATCAGTGCGAAAAAAGCGATCACCCGGTGGTCAAGCCCCGAGAGGATTGCATATGTACGTAGTTTGGAAATGGTAGCAGTAAATCTAGCAATGGTAATACTTCGCCATGCCAACCGAAAGCTCATCTATATGCATATACACGGAAGTCAGATTCAGGCATCATAATTTACATCTCCTATAAATTGAGAAACGACGGCCTTCGTTCGGCCAAATTATGCGCATCGGAAGCTGGGCGAAGAAAACGCGCAATTGGTATTTCGTTATCACGCAGGTCAATGTAAACGTCGATCCAATTATCAATATGGGCCACACTTCCGAACCATAACAATACGTTGGAGAGAAGGAAGTAGTAAAACGCATTGCCCAGTGAGCACTGTAAAACATTTTTTGCACGTCGCGGAGAAAAACAGAGAAACACGAGTTTTTCGAAGCACAATATCTAAATTTTGGTATAAAAGAAAGAAAAACCGTTGGTTTTTTTTGCATAAGAAAGAAAACCAGAGCAGTTCAAATGAAATTCGAAAACTTACACTTTTCATCGTCTTGATAAACGGTTCTGAGCTATCCACCAAGACCAGGAACATGATGAGCAAATTTATAAAAACTGCAAATTTCAAAATTCTTAAAAGCAAATAAATCTTGTCGCACAACTGATGTTTGTAAGTTTTCAAAATACGAGTAGCTGGTTGGCTTTTCTGAGCCGGGAAATATGCATGGATGCTTGACGTGCATGTCTTCAACAAAGTTTCATGGAGAAAAATGTTTAAAACGCTACAAATTTTTTTTCAAACAGTGCGTACGGAGAACGTATGGGACTTGGCGCAGTGAGAAGTAGCACTGTTGTCGTGCAGCAGATCGGGAGGATTCGACAGCGCGGTGAGAGGAACAATCCCTATTACGGTTAGTTTCGATGCTAAACAAACTGGCACGGGCATATGCCAGGAGTTCAAAGGCGCCATTAGGTTATTTGCGTAAGCAATCTTTGAAAGAGGAGCCCATCGACAGCTTTGCCAGTGTAATGGGTGCTGTTGGCATTTGCTTCCACTCGAGCTACTTCTCCAGTATCGCCTCCTCTCACAGAGAACGAATATGCAGGGCATTTTTGACTATGACTTATTGTGAACACTTTCAAAAGGCCTTCACGGACAGAATCAGGAGGCGAACCAACAAATGCGATTAACAAAGGGCGGAAATTAAATGAACTTGCCTAGCAATATAGTTGCAACACACAGAAGCTTCTGCACTTTGAGATCTTTTTTCACACAAGTGAAAAATAGTGAGATAATGACAATTAAGTATAATACAATACTAAAAAGTACGAAAACACGTGCCATCCTCAAACCTGAAAGTGACAATCAACGTAACAATTATTCAGTGCCTCAATATGGCAGGCAATCCCGGCTTACTTTAAGGCTCTTTTACAAGGAAGACGACACAGTAATTCATTTTTTGATGGTAAATTGGTAGTACTGGCTTGCCTAGCATGCCAGGCCGGCTGGATCAGTGGCCTTCAACTTGATTTTTTTTTTGCTTTGGTTGAAAACTATCGTGAGCCCCGCTAGCGCGTGGTTTTTGGCAAGGCTGTCACTTATCGCTATCCCCTTATGGGACCAAAAGAACCGTCTGCGGTAAGATCTTACTTTTTCTATTATATTAACTAATTAAGCAATTTGTATAACTACTCATCTTCTGTAACACTTTTTCACCACTAACATGCATTATAAAATTAATTTAATCTTAACTTCTACTAATTCCAATCAACACAGTCGTAGTACTGAGGAGGTCCAACTGTGGTAATGGTAAGAAATGTATGCGACTTAATGAAGCGAAACACTTCTTACCATTATAATTTTCTAATTTTCATTTTTTACCTTCTTTTTTCAATCTTTCTATTATTTTTGCCTTCGCTGTGACAGTGTTTAATGAAACAGCGAATGTGAGAAGACAAAGTGCTTTCTTGCTGCAACAACCCACAACTTAGGGAATAGCTGCGAGAGTGTGCACAATCAGATGCTTACCTACAGATGGAGATTCAATATCCGAGGCAGTGAGATTCTGGCCATTGATCACAAAGGTATTTTTGGTATCAGACCATTCCGTACATTTGATGCCTTCTGCGAACCGTTCATTTTTTACACAGTCATCGCCCAATCCGCGCTAAATAACATTTTTTTTTTGCCTTACTACAGCAAATTTTGGTATTTTTATTACTATTAATATTCTGCTGTTAGAAACTTCTTATAAAGTTCCCCTGCCTTTCGCACTTAATAAAACCGCCACCGTCTTCCCACCTCCCCCTACACATTCTCACCCATTCGCCCGGTTCAGCACACAAACTCTGCTTTTACTGTTGTCGAATGAGTACTGTCAACTTCATGGAGGCGATAAATAATCATTCAGTTCATCAATAGCTAACAAAAGTGTGTGGGTTTCAGTTCATTTTACCGAGATAAAGTTGCAACTGAGATTCTTTACATCTAAAGTTTTCCGGGAATAGTTGCTGACTGCGTTTGATGAAAGTCTGCATTTCCTGGGCATTCAATGACAATATAAAAGGCCGAAGGTGCTAGGCCTATACGGATCGTGAAACATTTGGTTTGTTTGCACTTTGGAGTCGGTTTGCCTGAGATCGTAGCCCAAGATGGTTTATAAAAGTCATTGATACAAATTTATACTTCATCAAGTAAAGACGGTACGTTTAGGGAAATCATGCATGCCGAATCCACATATCGCCACTCAAACTGCCTTTCGATTGATTCAGTACTTTAATTTACGGCATTCCCCAGTTCAAATAATCTGTTTTTCGCGCTTCAATGCATCTCCGTTAGTTTCAGCTTTGGATTAGCGAAATTCCGGATTCTCATTCGGATACAGTTAGCGCTCCATGCAAAAGAATTTGGTGTTCCCTTCCCACTACTACATTAACGGCTGAGTCCTATTCCCGAACTTCCAGCCGCAAGTCGGCCATTTTACCGCAGTCAAACTGACACGATCAGTGGACCAACGCATTGGCCGAAGCAGTAAATCTGCTAGAAAACAGAAAACCTGGTAGACGTATGAACCATTGGTGTGCACCAGCCATGCATTGTTAAAGAAGTGAAATGTTTCGAAAACGGCACCGAATGCAACCAACATGAATGCAATAATCAGCTCCCAGAAGAAGCGATTTTGGCGTGTGCTCGGCCGCGCCATGGCCTTCGAACCTATCTCAGAATTTAGCACTCCCTGGAAAAGACAACAAAATAAGTCGTAACTGAATAAGCCGTTTCTAAGACACTAAGATGGCAGAGGTCTCACTCAGTAGCACCTGGATCTGTGCTGTGTCCCAAATACGTTCTTGCATAACTGCTTATCCACCGCTAATTGAATGACATAAACCAGCAAACCAAAAAATAAACTAATTCAGTAAACAAATATGCGCGAATGCGTGCCGCTCCGCAGTAGCGTTACTAGCATTTAAATGTTAAAAAAATAATAGTGATAATAATAAATAATGATAATGACAATAAATAGTGATAATGATAAATAATGATGACAATAAATGATGATAACAATAACAGTAATTATTATTATCACTATTATTATAACAATAATAACACGGCGAATGCCCTTATGTTTGACGTCATATTTATAAGCTATTCACGCAAACAACTGATAACCGACTAAAGAAACAGTATGAACTAAAGAAATCGGGTATGAAAAATAATGCATCGGAAACGAAGGTGATGCACAGCGCCACAACTAAACAGGCCATGTTAACTTGGAAGAAATTGAGAGTTATGCCTATCTTGGCCGAGAAGTCAAACATGCATCATAAGTCCCAGCAAAAGATTACATGTAGAAGGCTACAGAGAGGCGCAAACTTCAAGGCACTATCGATTTCCCAAGGTATTGAAGCGAAAGGACCCGCTGCTTACCCACCTCATCAGTACCACTGTGTTGAAGACAATGACGTACGGGAGCGAAACGTGGTCACCGAAGAAAGAAGAATTGCGAATGCTGGCTGTCACGGAGAGAGCGATGGAACGAAGGTTATTCGGCGTTTCCCTTAGTGACCACATAAGAAACTAGATCATCCGTCAAATGAGCAGTGTGCAAGACATATTTGCGACCACGCGTGAAAGCAAAATTCGATGGACAGGGCAAGTTGTTTTCCTTTTTAACAATTGTTGGATGAAGTAAATCGGTGAATGTTACTCACGTTGAACTAAACGATCACTCGAGCAGCTTCCAAAAACGTGGCATACATGCATCGAACAGGCGATGGGTACTAACTGGAGGTACGCAGCAGTGGGATCGAAGGAACTGTTATATTTGTGTCTGGTGTGTAGATGCAGCATCACAATAACTTCAGTTCCCAATACTTGGGTGGTCTTAACAATCCTACACATCGTTACGCCAGTTCTTTTTTTTTAACGCAGCAATGTAATGCTTCAGCCCTCAATAGTACCCCCCCCCCC